TCCGCCACTTCCCAGGCGACGGGGCGGGGAGTCCCCGAGACGTCAGCGGGAGGCGGAGAGAGCGCCGCCGCCTCGGATAAAGTGACAGAGGGGCGCGGAGGACCGGGATAGAGGGTGAGAGGCGGGGACAGAGACTCAGGAAGAAGGGCACGTGGGCTGGAGAGAGAATCCGAGGGAAGACAGAGACCCAGAGCGAGGGGCAGGAATCGGGAGAGAGGAACACGGAGGGTGGGAGGGGACACCGACTAGAGAGAGCGAGCGACGAGCCCAGGATAAGAAGGGGCCAGAATCCTGTGAGAGGGGGAGAGTGACCCTGACAAAGCAAGGAACAAAGGTGGGTGACCCAGAGGACAGGGCAGGCGGGACAGCTGAGAAGTGGGCGACGTCCACCCAGACAGGCAGGGCCACACTCGGTCACGCGCCTGCTCCCTGATGGGGACAGCTGGGCCTCCGAAACCTGAGCCCCTGCACGCTGCTCCAGCTGTATTAATAGCCCTGGCCTGGCTAGGTCCCTACCCCTGATCTGAGTCCCAGGGGCAGGAGGTCATGGTTATGCGCACTGGGGGCAGGGATCCTTCAGTCTTCCAGGGCCTCCATGTTGGCCTCTGCCTGGAAAGTCCCCATAGTGCACCTCAGCCCTGCCATTGCAGGGGTCTCTCTCCTACATCCCCCCTCCCCAGCACCCTGGCCTTCCCCTGTTCAACTCAGCTGTCCCTGCAGCTGCCAAACATGAGCCTCTTGGTGGCCCAAAGTCAACTCCCTCCGGGCCGCGCTCAGCTCAGAGGAGAGAGACCCTCATCCTCCCCGCCCAGCAGAGAGGGGAGGGAGGTGGAGCGGCCCAGAATAACCTGGGGCTGAGAGTAAATTTAGCCAAGCTGAGGGGAGGGGAAAGACCCTATTGGCCAGAGGATGGGGAGGGAGGGCCAGAGAGGGGGTCAGGGGCTCCGGGTCAGCCTCGGAGGGGTGTCAGGGCTAGTGGAGGGCGGACGGACCACGACCAAGAGACAAGGTGCAGGGAAGTCAGACAGCAAGACACAGACACAGTGGGGACAAGGACCTCAACATTCATCACAGAGCCACAGAGGCAGCTGGAGCCAGCCCTGGGAGAAGATCTGGTGCCAAACGTCCCCATGGGCCACCGTGAGTCATGGCCACACACTTTTCTCCTCTGGGCCGCAGTGGGCAGCCTGCTCCTCCCTCCTGCAGTAACCCAGCAGCTAAGAGAGGCTGGGCTGGGCCGCAGCAACTGGAACAACAATGCAGGTGTCCCCAAGCCCTTAGAGGACGTGTCAGCCGAGTTTGACCACCACATTCATGGCCATGGGGGCCGTCAGGATGAGCACGAGGACATCTCGATGGAAAATGGACATCGTTCCCAGAGCCTGTGGCAAGAACACAGACACAGTGGAGATGAGGACGAAGACATCTCAAGGGAACGTGGCCACCACCACCAAGGCCACAGGTACCGAGGCCACGAGGTGGGAAATGACAACAGCTCTGAGGAGGTCTCCACAGAGCACAATGGGCAGACCCGTGGGCACAGAGGCCAGGGCCTTGAAGACACTGAGGACTCCACTGAACATGGGAACCACTTCCCCAGCCACAGGAACCGCAGTCGTGAAGATGACAGTGAGGACGATGTCGTTTCCAGTGAGCATCACCATCACGTCCCCAGCCACATACACAGAGGCCACAGAGGGGAAGATGATGCTGAAGGAGAGGAGGAGGAGGAGGAGGAGGAGGAGGAGGACCTCTCCTCTGAGTATGGACACCAGGCCCACAGGCACCAAGGCCACAAAGAAGAGGAAGATGAGGCAACCTCAGAGGAACATCACCATCATATTCCTGACCGCCGGCATGAAGGCCACAGAGTCAGGAATGAGGACGGCGAGGACGTGTCCACTGAACACTGGCACCAGCCTCCCAGACGTGCCCACCATAGCCTCAGAGATGAGAAGGTGGGGGAGGAAGAAGAGGGGATCGCAGTCGAGTTCAGCAGCCGTGTTGCAAGCCACCCGCCCCAAGGTCACCAGAGGGATGAGGAGGAAGACTCCACAGAGAAGTACAAAACAGAAATCCCTGGTCATCACCGCCTCACAGTCTCCGGGCAGAAAGATGAGGACATCTCTGCCGATCTTGGCCCCTGGGCCCCCAGCCACAGGCAAAAAGACCACCAGGATGACTATACTGTCCTTGGTCACAGAGGGTCCATTCTAGAAGACATCAGCCACCAGCCCCCAGAGGACATGGGGGTCAGGGGTAAAAGCCGCTTGAGGGAGGGTGAATCTGGAGGTGAGGAAGAGAAGAAGGAAGATCACAGCTCCCAAGAGGAAGATGCTGAAGGCTCAGAGCAGGAAGAGGAAGGGGCCCGCCATGGCAGCCTGGACCAGGAAGATGAGGAAGATGAAGATGAAGGCCGTGGCCTCAGCCTGAGTGAGGAGGAAGAGGAGGACGAGGAGGAGGGGAAGGATGAGAAGGCTGAGACTCGGGCCCCACTGAGCCAAGGTCACAGCGAGGAGGAAGAGGAGGACGAGGAGGAGGGGGAGGAGGATGTGGAGGAGGAGGAGGAGGAGGAGCAGGAGCAGGAGGAGGAGGAGAAGAAAAGAGTGGCTTCCTAGGAAATTTGTTCCCCAGGATGCAGTCCCCAGAGATTGTCAGCCATCCAGGAACACACAGCCTCTGAAGCCATGATCCAAAAAGGGCAGATTACTATTGAGCTGCAGTCAGACCTTGGCATTATCTATGCGGTGCTGGTTTGATGGACATGTGGAATACAAAAGTTTTGGGGTCAGAGAGGCT